GATGTGACACCAAACAAAACACCACACTAAAAATGTTTGAAGAATACGTCATTTTTAATACCGCTAGTTGGAGTGTCATCATCATTCTCCGGACTATGTTCGCCTCCATTTGCTGAAAACACAAAATAAAAAAAATATTGTTAAAAAGCTCACGTGAAAGCTGGGATAGTTCAGACGAGGTGCAAAACGAATGAAAAGAAGTGCCTGTCAAATTTAGCACCCAAAGTGTTTCCCTAACCTCTCCTACTTAGAGTTAGAGCAACAAAAGCAAAGGCTGGAGAATGGAAAAGGGGACAATTGTGACAAGCAATGTTTAAAATAGCCAAAATAATAGGTCAAAAGGCCAAAAAAAAAGTAGAATCTTCACTCCCACCGACAAGTGGAAGATAACGGATCTTACCGGGTTGGTCAGGACCACGCCTCTTCACGTTCGCGTTTCGTGAGGTTCTTGCCATTTCTTTGGGTTCCACTTAAACAACAAAGGTATCACTTGTGTTACACCTTAAAGAAGTTTAAGACCGATCTACATCACCTCACAGTAGGCGCGAAATCAAAGAGACGAAAACCGTTGCAACCGTCACCGCTCGAGCCGTCTTGCAAACTCGGAAGTACTGCTGCGATGTTGCCAACATGCACATGAATATTCTTCTCTGCGAAGTGACCAGATCATCTAATACACAGGAACACTGTAATTTTGATCAATTCGAATTTTTTGGACATATGAGAGTTAGTTGTGGAATGATTTTAAAGAAGAGAGAATAGTAGTCACTGACAAATATTTGTTAGTCATGGCTGATAGTATTGCCTGAGAAATACACTAGTGCCAACATGAAAAAATAAGTTTTATTAACAGTCACACATATATTGCGATGATCAAAATTTTAAACAATGAAAGGGGTCACAAAATACTTCAATTGAAATTATAAATGTATATTCAATGATCAGAGAGTGATTGACACCAACTAAGAGTAGAAAACAAGCTGTTTTTTTTTTCTGTGGGTGGTGAGCTTTTTGAAGTCACTTGTTCCTGCTTGTTTTCTCAGGGTTGCTGTCATTTGGTTTGTATCAACACTGTCTCTGTCCTGACAAAAAGTTCAACTTCAATAATCAACTTCAATAAAATATAACAATAATCAGGGAAAATATGTCGGAGCCAAAGCGGATAAGGCGGTTAGCTGACGATGAACTCAGCACGACATCATCAACATCTGAAATTGACCTATCAGATGATGATGAAATTCAGTATAGCCCACCTGCTCAAGTTCTGTCTGCCCAAAGTAAGACGCAGGAGATTATTTTATTTACTGTTTGTCGGTTGTAAAACCTAACTTTTTAAATGTCTTCTCTAGGTTCTCCTTTTCGTCTCTCATCTCAGGCATCTGACATGAATACAAATCATTCCTGTGAAGGTTAGTAACTAATATCATTTCCCTTCTGATTTCATTCATTTACTCTCCCTTTCCTGGGTAGTAAATGATCTACTTGTGCTTGTTCTCCCTTGATTAATTTAACTTTGATTAAACTATTGTCGGATATTTTTTTGTAATACAACATAACATTTCTCTTTCAGCGTTTGCTATCAGTCAGTCTCGTACACATTCTGATGTCAACATGGAAGACGATGATTCTGTTGATCATAGCCTTTTTCCCGGAAGCACCAGAGAATGCGGAAACCCCAATGACTTAACACGTATATCACTTTTTCTACTACGGCAGACCTATATGCCTAGAGCTAAGTAGTGTTGTTTTATTACGTCAAGAAAGGCTTTGCTGTTTGATTCTCATTTGATGTGCATTTGATCACGCAATCCACCTAATTTATAATTCTATCACAGCATTACATGTTGATGACAGCAATAGTGTGTGGAGTTTAATGGGAAGTCAACCACAGCACCAAGGTAATGGAGATAAACATTGATAATATTACTCTAGATCATAGTAAAATATCTTGTTTTGAATTTGCTATCATTTATCGTCTTACTTGTGTATCGCCACAGCTACTGATGAGAACCCCTGTGAAACAAATATTGCCGACACCACAATTTTAGATGATATTTCTGATTATAGTGAACCTGGAAGTGAATCAGAAGAAGTTGTAGAAGCAGAGAGTAAGATTTGTTTTACTAACCATTAATCATCGCATCACATGAAGTTCAAAATGTGTCTTATCATTATCATCCCAATACATCTTTGATAATTCTGTTTCAATATTATGTTATAATCACCCAATTGCAAGACAGCCAAATAAGAGGGGAAGTCACTGTATTAATGTATGTAAATATTAATTTTTTAGGTGAACAAAGTGAAACAGATGTTTCTGACTTATCAATGAGTGAAGATGAAGAAATAGACCTGAATGTTATTGGTGACCCACCAGTCTACAAAGGGGCCCGTATTACTGTTTCAGAAAGCATGACTGCCATCCTATCATATATAATTAGGCATGAACCAAGTGGAAAAGAAATTCTAGATCTTTTGAATTTGATCAATCTGCATTGCAAAGAAGAGGAAAACAGAATGATAACAACTTTATACTTTTTTAAGAAGTACTTTTCCTTGCTTGGTTGCCAAGTTGTCTACCATTATTACTGCTCAGCTTGTTATGCCAAGCTACAGAAGAAAAGTGATATATGCCCAAATTTGAAAGAGCATCCAGAGTCAAGTGAAGTTAGTATATTTGTTGAACTCCCTCTTATTCCCCAGATTCAATCTCTCTTTACTCAAGAAGAATTTTATACTAATTTTGCTTCTCAAAAAGTCAGAGCCCAAAGCACAAATAAGAGCACCCTGGAAGATACCTATGATGGACAATTATATCAAGAGTTGGTACAAAGTGGATTCATGAGTGTGAAAAATCCATGCAACTTTTCTTTAAGCCTCAATTCTGATGGAGTTCCAGTTTTCCATTCGACTAAAAAATCTCTGTGGCCTATATTTTTGAATGTGCTTGAACTCCCACCACATCTAAGGTTTAAACAAGAATTTACCTTGATAGCAGGATTGTGGTTTGGTGGTAAACCTTCTGCAAATGTCATGTTGTCTCCACTCCTACCAAAGTTCAGAACAATGTCAAATGGTTTTGTGGTAAAACCATTTGGAGTTTCGAAGGATGTCAAAGCTAGGGGAATAGTTTTGTCTGCTACCACTGATCTTCCAGCCAAAATATTATTATTGGGGATGGCAAGCTATTCTGGAAAATTTGGTTGTCAAGTGTGCAAGATAGAGGGTGGAAGTGTGAAAATAACTAAAAAGAACAAAAAAGAAGTGAAGACAACTTCCGTTTGGGTATACAAATATTCACGTGATTTAGATTTAAGAAATAAGTCAGAGACAGAGAGGTATGGAAAAGACGCTCAAGCGGCATTGGTTGCAACAGGAAATGATACTAACATTTATGGTGTCAAATTCCCAAGTGCTATATTGAAAATTATGTATGATGCTATAAGAGGATTTGCAATTGACGATCTTCATACTCTGTATCTTGGTGTCACCAAAGCGAAGATTAATTTGTGGTTCGATTCAACTAACAGCAGTCAGCCTTTCTCGATAAGAAAACACCTCTCTGTTGTAGACAAACGGCTAAAAGAAGTGAAGCTGCCAAATTTTTTAGAGAGGGGAGTTGTAAGCATCGAAGATCTTTCTAATTGGAAAGGAAAGGATTTTTTAGCTTGGTTACACTACCTTTCTGTTCCTATTTTGGATGGGATCCTCCCTGATAAATATATGCAACACCATATCGACCTTGTTTCATGTCTGCAGCTTTTACAAAGATCTCCAATTGATCGAAATGCTTTGCGTGATTGTGATAAGACTTTAGATACTTATGTTAAGAACTTTGAAGTCTTGTATGGTTCTCGTCACATGAGTATGGTTGTTCATTTATTGCAACATCTGGTCTATGTAGTGACTAACTTAGGACCACTTCAGTACCTTTCTTGTTTCCCTTATGAAAGTTTAAACGGTGACATTTTGAAGATGATTCATGGGACACGATATATTGAAACCCAACTGGCAAGCTGTTCATACTTGATACGTCAGCTGCCTCACCGTTTGAAAGATTTGCCACCCAACAGCAGTGTGAAGGATTTCTGTGACAACACTCTTCACCCATCAAAGAGATTGAAAATAAATGAAAAAATTTGTAGTGATATTTTCTCTGTTGGAACTTACAGCAGTCGTTTATTGCCTGAAAATTTTGTCACAGCCTTGAAGAGAAATATTCAAGTAAATAATAAAACTGTCTTGCAATCTTTCCTCAGATTAAAGAAGGGTAAGCTTCTGTTTTTCTCAAGATCTTACAGCAGAAGCACCAAAACTAATTCTTACACATGTTGTTTTTCTGATAATAGTTTGACAAAATATGGTGCAATTGATGTATTTATCAAAGTCTCATCAGAAACAGGTGCTCAATACTTTGCCATTGTAGAAATAGGTAATACACAGCCATATATAGTGTCTCACATCAAAGAGTTTTCTCTCACCAATAACTATTTAGCAATTCCAGTCCAAGACTTGCAAAAGATGCTAATTTTTATAACAGTAGAAAATAGGTCGTTTGTCTGTGAGCCTCTTGACCATTCTCTTAAGTCTTAGATGTTTTATAAATTTGTCTTCTTTACATTTTGTTTACAAATTATTTAAACCTAGGCTAAGCTGTACTCATTTGTAATGACATTCCACAATCATTTTTTACATGTAAAACTGTTTATGATAAAAATTAAATTGTTTGTGTACTTTCCTGAAACATTTAAAAAAGAAATATACTAGAATTTTATTTGCTTTTACCTTTTATTAGTCAGATGGTCACATGTCTACAATTTTCCTGTGGAAGTTGCACTACAGAGATTTTGTGTCTAGAGACATAATCCCATTGAATATAAAGCAGAGAAATTCAAAACGGGTGACAACACATACTGGATTCTAGGTCGTCTCATAAGGAAAATAGTTTTCCTTTCAGGGGATCAGAGTTTGATTACAATTTTTGTTCACTGATTGTCCACTTATTTGCTAGGACTAGTTACAGATGAAAGAAGGGACTTGTACTTGTTATATTTCAGTTCAAGTTCAGAAATAGTGGCATGAAAACTGTCAATTTTGCATTCTGTACACCCTTCTTGAGGATTTTGATCGAATGTTTCTAAAGTATCTTTCAGGAAACTCTGTCCATTAGGACTCTTGAGGAGTGCTTGCCTATACATTTCAAGATATTTGTTGCAGCAATCTCCAAACACTTCTAGCGATGGTAGAACGAAGTCCTGCTCGGATAGTAAACACCTGAAACAGAAAAAAAAAAAAGACAGTTTTAAAACTTCAGATGTAAAGTAATGTTGCAAACGCTTCTACGAATTAGACGTTACAGCTAAGTTATGCAATCTCAGGCAGCACCTCGACGCTCGCCGCCAGGACGAGTAGCACACCTTGACGTCGGCCACCTAGCTCTCCTCGATGCGGTGCGCCTCCAGGACGAGCAGCACACCTTGACGTCGACCACCTAGCCCTCCTCGCCGACGGCCTTCGACGCGGCGGCCGCGCCGCTCACCGACAGGACGAGTAGCACACCTTGACGTCGGCCACCTAGCTCTCCTCGATGCGGTGCGCCTCCAGGACGAGCAGTACACCTT